TATTTACTTTTAATTTTCGGTTCAGGAAACCAAATGCATTTATTCTAAATATGTTTGTATTGTTAAATTTCTTGAAATACCATCTAAAGCAATGATCTTAGCTGATATCACTTAACCAACAATTACAAATGGCTTTTAAAATTTGAAATATACCAGCCCACGTTCCTAACCGGCGTAAATCGATCCTTGGTCCAAACAGAACGGGACCAAAGATATTCAGATACAGCCATGACAAAACTCGATGTACAATTTGTACGCAGACAATGCCCACACAAATAGTGATCAAAATAGAACTATCCAGTGCCATGTTTAGATTTATACGCTTAATGCACACAGTTCTCAAAACGTCGTCAGAAATATCCGAATACAGAGCTTAATATTTCTCTGTTACTTCTGTGTGGTTTAAGCAACTACTAAATTAAATACATCTTCCGGAATTAGTTTTCTGGTTAATTGTTGACATAAAAAATATGAATAATTAATAATATAATAATACATTAAAGTACAATATAATTGCAGTAGTTTTTATATTTAATTATATTTACATATTTTTTTTTGTATTCAGTTTTATATTTAATAAACTAAAAAAAAAGCAAGAAAAATTACCTTTACTTACTCGTATTTTACAGATTTATCTTAACAATTATTAAAGCAACGATTCTATATCTTGTTTTTTTTTTAGATAGTTTCAAACGCAAAAAATTGTTACTGTAATACAACACTTCTTCTAAAAAATGAATCATAGATTTTTGCACTAACGAGTATTCATATTAATTTTAAAACGCATGCATTCACAGATTCGGAAACTATTCTTAATCAGTGGCTATTTATTTGTCTATGTATAGAACTTTTTTTATGGAATGTTAAAAATTAAAATTTAATTTAATTAATTTTTGATTTTTGTATTTCTTGTTTTATTTTATTTTATTCTTAATTATTGTTTTGTTATTTTTATTATAATAATTATATACATTTCTTGTAATACTTATGCTGCAGTAGAAGGAAACATACTAGTATTTTAGTATGTATTAATATTTCAATATATTCGTAATACAGTTAGTTGGTGTATATTCTGCATTATATTCGGTGGTATTGAAAAGAACTAAAACAACTGTTAGTCGGTGATATACAGTGGATGAATATACCATGTTCTCCTCACCATGTTCTGTTAATTTGTCACGAGCCATCATATATGTCTGTTACCCAGCATTACTATGATGGAACACTAATCCTTTTCTGTTGGCCAATTCTGCTCGATACCTTGATTTGTTTCGCTTAAGTGATTGATTAGTGAGCAATAAAAAACCAAACTAAGCATTGCACCAGACTGTAGCAGCGCGTAATAGATTATTCCATCCAATGTTTTCAAACACTTAACATAAAGATCGTCAGCCTTTGATAATGATCGTTTGCATTGAATATTTTCTTATTTTCTATCTTATCTTACTTTTTATGTTTCTTATATATTCCTTTCTTACCATTCCTTTCTTTCTTTCTTTTTTGGAGCAAGAGCACATACCCTAAGGATAGCAAAAATATCTGTCTGTAAAAAAATCTGAAAGATGGTATGATTTACTAATCATTATGTTAGGTCAGCAGAAAAGATTCCGTCGGTATAGATCGCAAAAGCAAATCCTTTCTTAAAAATCCTAACAGCAGCGTCACTGAAACGACTATAAATCTATGATTAATGGTTGTTATGTAACAAATTTTTTACAGATATCGTTTAAAGATTGTAGTTTTCAATATATTTATATATATAGAAATAATTGTTTAGAATCCTTAACTGTGTCTCCAATATCAGTAATAAAGTCCACCCTCTTAAAATTGTCTTCTCATAAAAGTGTGTTAGTCACGATTTTGAAAGATTCGGATAGAAACAATAAAGATATATTAAAGATTTCTTAACATTTGGTTTGTTGTGCTACCTACATTTCTCATTCGTATTAGCTTATGCTTATAAATTTCTTTATGGTCCATAAAGCATACTGTAGAATTATTACTCTGTGGTGTTAAATGTGTTTCATGAACAGCATGTGACTTTTCTTTGCACATTTAATCTGAAATGAGCTTCATCCATGAACATCACTAAACATTGATTATTCGTCAAGTTGTTCGAAAGTTCAATCTGCAAATTTCTACATCCAACTATAATTCTAATAATAGGTTCTTGTATCAACTGAATTCTACATTGTGACCGAAAAGTTTCCGGAAATTTTAAATAAAACGCAAAATTCTTAATCTTCATCAATATTTATTTTATCTCCTTCAAATTATGCTCCATTAGAAGCGATACACAAATGCCAACGTTTCTTCCAATCATCAAAACATTTTTTATAGGCGCTTTCCGGTATGGCTTTGAGTTCCCTCTGCGAATTCTGTTTTACGTCTTCTATGGATTCAAAACGCGTTCCTCTGAGTGGTAATTTGAGTTTGGGAAACAGGAAAAAGTCACACGGTGCAAGATCAGGTGAATACGGGGGCTGTTCGATGGTATTTATTGAATGTTTGGCCTTAAAATCGTTGATAATGTTGGCTCGGTGCGAGGGAGCATTATCGTCATGAAAAATCCATGAATTATCCTTCCACAATTGAGGCCGTTTACGGCGGATATTTTCACGCAAACGTCTTAAAACAGTCAAATAATAGGCTTTATTGACTGTTTGTCCTTCAGGGACGAATTCATGATGCACCACACCACGAATATCGAAGAAAACAATCAGCATTGCCTTGATTTTCGAGCGACTTTGGCGTGGTTTTTTCGGTTTCGGCTCGTCTTTTCCTCTCCATTCCGATGATTGTTGGCTTGTTTGCATGTCGTACTCGTAGACCCATGTCTCGTCACCCGTTATGATGCGTTCCATGAAAGTTGGATCGGAATTGGCACGATCAAGCATGTCTAACGAGACCTGTCCACGATGGTGTTTTTGGAACAAATTGAGGTGAATCGGAACAAGCCGAGCGTTGACACGTCGCATACACAAATTTTCCACCAAAATCAAACGAGCCATCTCACGACCGATGCCTAGCTCTCGTGCTATCTCTCTAACACTCACATGAGGATTTTGGAACACGATTTCCTTTGCCTTTTCAATGTTTTCGTCGGGGGTAGAGGTCGAAGGTCGTCCAGAACGCGGCATGTCTTCGACGGTCGTACGACCGTCCTGAAAGGCTTTGTACCACTCATAAACTTGAGTTTTCGATAAAACTGATTCCCCATAAGCCTTTTGTAGCATTCGCAAAGATTCTGCACACGAAATTTCGTTCGAAACACAAAATTTGATGCAAACTCTTTGTTCAATATTTTTTTCCATTGTTTTTTTCGCAACGCACTACTGAGGTGAACTGGTTTAAACAGCTGCCGTAAACGAACTGTCTGACAGATCGCGCTCATTTTTGGCATAGTAATTGTCCTTAATTGCTGCCAAACTACATAAACTTAAAATATCGAAAAATATACAGCGCGCGAATTTTAAATGAGAATTTCCGAAAACTTTTCGGTCACAATGTATATGCATTTACGGAAATGCACATCTTAATTAAAAATATTTCATATGAAACTATAATTGTAGTTCTTAAAAGTATTATTTGATTGCTTGGTGTCGGTTCTCATCCAGGTTTGTGCACATGGTTTCAACATTTTAAGCGATAGGTTTATATTTTAGATTGGGTGGACACCACAACACAAATACTACCATTTAATTTAAATTTTTCATTAACATTTTGTATAGTAAGCTCTACTCAGTCTACAGTCTGTTAGCTGTAAGTGTTAAGTTATACGTGTAACATAGCCAGTATAGATTCATTATTTTTCTAATATGGGTATGTCCCGTTTTCTATGGTAATTTGTAAAACAATCTTGAATAAAATTGTCAATTTTACGAATATTTCTTCTTGATTCTTCTTCTAGCTTCTTCTTTTTGAGTTAGTGCTATTACGCACTTTTACTCTATAATAGCTGGGGGGATTATCTCTACCCCACACTAGGCTTTAACTAGGCTAAGAAATCATATCATTTATTTGTCTTTTAGTTGATGACGGACCTTAAATCAACATATCTTTCCGAGAGTCCAGAAGTGGACTTAAGGATTGTTAGGGCTGGGTTAAGTAGCGTATCAACTTTAGTGAATATTTAAAAAGAAGAAAATGGTTTCTATGACAGTGCTATACTATACTTTACAGTATTATACTATATTATATATATTATATAAACAACTATTTTTATGTGCTCACATAACCTTTATTCCATAAATAATATATAATTACAATCTGAAATTATTGATTTGCGATATTTTATGTGAATATTTTTCTTCTACCCATCATTTAATAATTATCTTGTTATTTGCGATATTTCTAATAGATATTTTTATACTAAGATATCTTCTAAAATATATTTTGAATTCAATGTACTCTTAATGATATTTTATGTGAATATTTTTCTTCTACCCATCATTTAATAATTATCTTGTTATTTGCGATATTTCTAATAGATATTTTTATACTAAGATATCTTCTAAAATATATTTTGAATTCAATGTACTCTTAATGATATTTAAATGCCATTTAATTTCTATGAAAATGATTATGGTTATAAAAGCATACATATTTATAGTAGTTAATATAATAATTTCATTATATTGTAAAAAAAAGAATCACTAGTTGGTCGAGAAGTATAAAGTCCAATTTTGATATTTATACGATTATCACATTGAAATTTTCTCTAGATTTGCCGTTTATGTAGTTACCGTCACCGATCAATTCAAAATAGACATATTTGGTCTTTATATTATAAATTATATAAGGACCTAATACATATATATATATACATATATATATATACATATATAATATACATATATATATATACATATATATATATACATATATATATATACACACATATATATATATATATACCCATACATATATATTTAAATATTAACAAAAAAAAAAACAGAAGTTATCAAAAGGTGCACATCATTCAAATAATGCAGTGATTTTCTTACGAAATTACGGAATTATATCTCTTTTTCTGATTTAGACAGAAGAGATTTTATTCTTAAAAGTACTTTGAAATGCACAATTTTAATGATATAATTACCGCTCAAATAAGCAAAAAGTGCCAATAATGCATGTGGAAAGTAACCATTCGTTTTACCAGCAATACCAACAGTTTTCAAAGCAGAATCTACATATACTTCTGCGGATGGAGCGAATAAGTTAGGCTTAAGTTTATGCATATTCGTTGCCACTATACACGGTCGTAAACTTTGCACTATAATTCCTTGACTCTGATATTCTGTTTGTAAGTCTTCACTGAATTTATCCACAAATGCCTGTAGAAGAGAGCACGAATGTAGGTATACGACTAATGCCGATATTATATATATTAGTTATGAGGAATAATATTCCGTTTTTCATAGATATATTATTGATTTATACTTACCTTTGTGCCGCTATACACACTTAATAAAGGAGAGGCTATTACTGCAAAAAAGGATGATACGTTAATGATGACACCTTTCTTTTTTGCAATCATATTGGGAAGTACTAGACCACACATATTAGTAACTGAATGTATATTGACTGATATAATATCACGTAAGAATTGTGGGTAACGAGTAATATACTCGATAAAAAATTCTGGATATAAATAACTGATGCCAACATTATTAACAAGTACGCCAATATCAAGACCTGTAATATTCTTTTCAATTTTCTGATATATTTGGGGACCATCAGTGAAATCAATGTCGATGATTTTTATTTGCACATTATGAGCATCGGCTAAAAACAAGAAAAGTTACATTTTATATTTACTAGAAATAGTGTTCATGAATATTGAACTTACTTATTTCTTTGGCTACAGCTGCCAATTTCGATAGTGAACGACTTATTAGTACTACATTAAGACCCTTCTTAGCAAGCTAAAAATGGAATTAAATTATTAATTGAAACAATCTCACTTTTAGAAGATCTTCTCGTCGATTTTTTAGATTTTTATAAAATATTTCGGATCAGTTTGCACCATATACTATATAGATGATAAACTGTTATATATGGTATGACTTTAAATTTGTTTTAAAACACCCCCATTAAACGATTCTCTGTAAACGTGTTGCTGGTGTAAGAGGGTAGGAAATAAGAACTCGGTTAATTTTGATTTGTCCCGCATTAAGGTAATGGAAATTTGGTGATTTTTTTTCAACAAGTATTTTTATTATTAGAAGGATTTGAACAGTAATTAAAAAGCAATAACGAAAATTTGATTAATTTATTACAGTTTGACCGACCAAACCTAAAACCGCTGATTCAAGTATTGTCAAGTACTCATCGTCAGTGATCTTAGAAAATATGTATATATATCTATATATACATTATATATTATATATATATATATTATATATATATATTATATATTTATATTATATAATATATTATATACATTATAAATTATTCTATATTAAGTTCAATGTAAATGAGTTTTTTTTTTAAATATGAATGGGCATTATTCTTAACCTGGTAATTTGGTAAAATGATAAAATTTTACGCATATTTGTTTACGAAATTACAGTGTTATTTTTAATTTTTTTCGCTATTCACTAAAATATCAGCTGATTCTTATTATAATGAAAATGGAATAATATTAAAAAAAAATTCAACTAAAATAAGTTTTGCTTTACATTTCAATATAATTCCTTTTTTTGCTTTAATAGTACAATTTTAAAAGTTTACCGCAAAAATTTGAAAAGGAATCTTGATATAATTGCGATCTTTTCACTTTACCAATTAACTCAGTATGTACGTCGTCTGGAGTATTTGATTTATATGTATATAATTAACACAATGGGCCAGGCCAATAGCCCTTATTGGATTTTTAGAATCGTCGCTAAAACCTACACAAACTGCGAGGCTGCTTTCGACTGATGCATAAACAAAAGGAAGCACCTAGGTGAGCATATCATATCGAACGAAGAAATAAAACTCGGTACTGTGGGTTGAATATGACAATTTACGAAAGGATTCAGATTTGTAGAAATATTTTAATTCCAAGCAGGAGGGATAATAGATCTCTAGATTGCTGTGTAAATTTTCTTAATACTTTCTGATATTATTATGAAGAAAAAAATTTTACAATTTGTACCCTGATTCGATTATTGTTCAGATTGCTAATAACATTTTAACAAAATTTATATATCGATTTTTTTTGCACAAATTTATTTAACATATGTGTTGAAAGTTTAAAGTTGTTGAAACTTACCGCCTTAGCGTAAGCCTTTCCAATTCCATCCGTGGCACCCGTGACAACTGCAATTAAAACTTAAACTTTAGTATCAGGTTACGATTACGTAGTGCACTTATTGTAGATGTTTCTTTAAACTACATGAAAGCTAAAAGCTGTCAAGAACGATTATCACTTATCAAGATTATAAGGTAAATAAGAGGTAACATATAAAACTTGAAAATTAAACAAACAGTTTTGAAAACATTTTGAAACATACCAGCCCAAGCTCCAAATCGACGAAAATCGATTCTCGATCCAAGGAAAATGGGGCCAATAATATTTGTGTAGAGCCATGGCAGGACTTTGCGTACAGTTACTATGCAGACAATACCTACACAAATGCTGCTTAAAGTAGAAGAATCTGGAGCCATGTTTAGACCTGTATTTAGATTTAAATCCAATGCACACCTGTTTTATACAGTTTTTAAAACGTTCACAAAAGTTTTTCAATTTAATATTATTCGTTAAAATTTTATTTTTACAAAGTATTGTAAATTATAGAATCAATATTCCTCCATTTCATTCGGGTGTCGCGTCACTAATAAATTAAATAAATCTTCCACACTCATTTTGCTTGTTAACTATTTATATACAAATTGGAAATTACACATTCATAATAATTTTTAAACATTTATAATACACATATAGAAGATCGATTAATTACAGAATTACAGAAAACGTCAAATTGTATAAGTTAGCATAAAAAAATAAGTTGAGATACGTAAGAAAAAAATTATGTTTAATAAAAAGTTAAAGTCTCCAGTTAAAATTACTGCAATTTGTTTATGTAAAAACTCGTTTATTATAATTGTTTGTAAAAAATACTATGTTTTATAAAACCTAAATACTCGGTAATTTGTAATTTGCTTCTTATATCATCTGAAAGCAATTCAGTTTCGTTTCTTAAGTCACTTGAATTTTTATTTCCTCCTTATTCCCTCCAAAGCATATATTTTGGGATCTTCTTTGATTCTTTTCGTCTTGTCATTATACTCATTAATACTCACTTTAACCCGCGTGCATTCACAGATTTGGAATTTATTCTTTTAAAGATTTGGAGATCTCATAAGTATTCATAATGATATTAGTATCAAACTTAAAGAAATGTTTAATAGATCTTCTCTGCTTTCCTTCATCATTTCGTTATACTCATCCATACTCACTTTATCTCGCGTGCATTCACATATTTGGAATTTATTCTTTATTATATTTGGAATTCTACAAAATATCCATAATGATATTAGTACGAAACTTAAAGAAATGTTTAATAGATCTTCTTTGCTTCGCTTCACATTTCGTTATATTCATCCATACTCACTTTATCTCGCGAGCATTCACATATTTGGAATTTATTCTTTATTAGATTTGTCATACTAATAAATATCCATAAACATATGAGTATCAAACTTGAAGAAATGGTTAATAGGTTTATAAAAACGATATCAATTTCTTATGCTGTATTTCCAGCAAGTCTTATTGAGTGCTCATTTTGCTTATTGAATAAATAATTTCTATATATTTTTGTATAATGAATCGATTCCCAACAACCCACAATCAGATCACGATTTCACATTTTACCCTATACATGTGATTTCTAGAAAAAACTACTAATGTTACTTAACTTCAGAAAGTTTGATCTCTATACAATTAATGTAAACAACACACAATGGAAGCTTATTTCTTATTTAAAGCCGTACTTATATTTCAGATTGCACTACTATATAAAATTTGACATAAACGAAAGATAAACTATTGATTATAGACGCATTACCAGAAGTACGGTTAAAGTCCTGGGCTTCTATATAGCAATTCACTTGCTTACTCAAATTAATATAAGAGGAACTCGACCCATAGATCGAGTGGTAAAGTACTGTTTTTAAGTTATAAGGCTAAGACTTTCGAAGTAACGATAATTGACAGTGTGAACCAATTACCTAATTTTGTATCGCAAAAACAAAAACAAACTTCAAAAATTGAAGTTTATGTCAGAGGAAGAAAATATGGAAGAAACTATTGGCAATACACCACTATCTGTAGAAATAAGATAGCAAATGAAAAATGATGAAAATGCTGGAATTATAAAAGCGAGAAAAGCATTTGGAGCACACAGTATTGAAGACACATGTTATCTAAGTAGGGAGCGAGTAGAAAGGTAAGATAAAAAAAATTAAATAACTATAAGCTAATTTTAATTAAGTTTTTGGAAATATAAAAAAAATTTTGTAGAATTGTGCTTACATGTTAGCGCAGTAAAATCTTTGCGTACATCCGAGTTCTTTTGTCGCGTTTTAGATATAAATTTTATAGACAGGTTTCGAACAGTACTGAATAGCAACAACAAAATTTTTTATTTATTTTCGAGTATTGAAAAATACCCATCATCAGTAGTTATGGAATGATTACTTATATTTAATTATTCGTAAATAATTTTTTGGGATTGCAAGTGTTCATCAATTCAATTAAATAATTAAAAATAAATAAAAAATTTTGGTGTTGCAATTCAGTGCTGTTTGAAACCTCTCTATTAAATACAATTGTTTCTATCAAGTAAAATAGTTTCTATCGTCATAACAAGGGGCACAATAGACCCGACGGTCGTAGTGCAACATTTCTTAACAATTATTATAATCGTCATAACAGACGTTAAAATCAAATTAATTTTTATAAGTTGGTTCTTAAATGATGTAGATAATTTTAAATTTAATTAATTATATTAATATATAGTACAACTTGTGACAAATTGAACTTAATTAAGTAAACTTTCCAGCATAAAAATTTACACTGTACAAATCATACATTTAAATCAGGGCTGTCCAGACCAGATGCAATCGTGGGCTAATAGCAATCACTGTACAGATTGGAGGGCCTCAGAAACAAATACATACGCTCATAGTTGTTTTTGACAACTGTTTTAAAAATACGGTTATAATGTTAAATTTAGTTTTATTAATTTATCAATTTAAATTTATTTATTTAGTAAAACATAAAACAAAATAATGTACGAGGGCGGTTTGATAATTCAGTGACTTTTTGAATAAAAGAAATTTTTTTCGGCAAATAAACATTTTATTTTTCTACATAATCATCTTTTAGTTCGATACATTTAGTCCAGCGTTTTTCGAATTTTCTTATTCCTTTCAAATAATAAATTTTCTCAAAATACGCGTTTGTTTCGGGAAATACTTCTTCATTCGACTTAAATCTCTTACCGCCCAGTCATTTCCTTCGGTTTGGAAACAGAAAATAATCGCAGGAGGCTAAATCTGGAGAATATGCTGGATAGGGTAGCTGTTCATATCGCAATTCGTGGATTTTAGCCGCGAATGTTTAAACAGCACACGAAATTCTTTTTTTTAAATTTTCGTAAAAATTCACGAGGTTGTCTGCTTTGAACGGCTATCAAACACCAACTGAACGATGTAGCTTGCTTAAAATTAAGAAGATGCCCACTGGTAGATTACAGCTGACGACAGCACTGTTGAATTTGGATTAACTGCGGGGAAATTCAAAAAGTCACTGACTGAATTAGCCGTGGGACGTGCTTTGGACAGCCCTGATATTAAGAATTCAGATTTAATGCAAATAATAATTGATAATACTGAATTTGAAGTCTAGTGATCTTAAGGTACGGTGCTAGTGAAGTTAAGTTGAGGTAAAAGATAGTGAAGTCAGGAGAGTATAACATTAAATTACAACTATTGAACTTGCTAGGAGATTGGATGTGAAATTGTTGAGCTAATTTTTGGATTGGGTATAGAATTGTACAGACATTATTTAACTCATTTATTTTTCCCTCAATTTTTGTGGATATATGCTCGTTTGGATATATTATAAATAAATATACTGCTATCCTACTTTATACAAACTGTCTAGGAACAAATATAACTTATTCATAAATAGTAATATGTACTAAGTTTTTGTTTTATATAAACCAAAATTTATTTTATCTAAAGAATATGACAGCTTTCACAATTGTTTTTTACGTAAAACCATATCATTCTATGTTAAGTAAGATATAAAATTTTCAATTTAGCAGAAACATTTATTAATCCAGCGGCTTTTAAAGTTTCCATAGCGAATATAATTAAATTGTTTTTACAAGAAAATTTTTATATACATAATCTTATAAATAATTTCATAAAAATAATTTATTTGGTTGAAATATTTGGTAATCTAAAGTCATATTAAATTAACTTTTGGTAACAAAAGCTCTACGTATTTAAATTATTTTTGTACATATTTAAGAAATTTATTTCTTTTTTTCTGAATTACGCAAAGCGCGCTTTCGCATGCCGGAAAAGAAGTTGAAAATAAAATTTCTGGCCATCTGGTCACCGGCAACGGCACCCAATAAGTGAATTCTCAATTGCAGTAGTGCATGTGGCAAGTAACCAGCCGTTTGTCTAGCAATGCCAACTGTTTTTAAAGCAGAAGCTACATAAGTATCTGGAGATGGAGCGAGCAGTGTAGATTTTCGGATTTTTGCCATATTCGTTGCAACAAAACCCGGTTGTACACTTTGCACTATAATTCCTTGATTCCGATATTCTGTTTGCAAGTCTACACTGAATTTATCAACAAACGCCTATAATTTAGAGAAGAATATAAATGTATACAAATAATATTTATGTATATGGTATTATTTATTTATATTTACCTTAGTACCGCTGTATACACTGAGTAAGGAATATGGTATTACAGCAGCAGTAGATGATAAGTTAATGATGACACCTTTCTTTTTTGCAATCATATTGGGAAGTACTAGACCACACATATTAGTAACTGAATGTATATTGACTGATATAATATCACGTAAGAATTGTGGGTAACGAGTAATATACTCGATAAAAAATTCTGGATATAAATAACTGATGCCAACATTATTAACAAGTACGCCAATATCAAGACCTGTAATATTCTTTTCAATTTTCTGATATATTTGGGGACCATCAGTGAAATCAATGTCGATGATTTTTATTTGCACATTATGAGCATCGGCTAAAAACAAGAAAAGTTACATTTTATATTTACTAGAAATAGTGTTCATGAATATTGAACTTACTTATTTCTTTGGCTACAGCCGCCAATTTCGATAGTGAACGACTTATTAGTACTACATTAAGACCCTTCTTAGCAAGCTAAAAATGGAATTAAATTATTAATTGAAACAATCTCATTTTTAAAAGATCTTCTCTTCGATTTTTTAGATTTTTGTAAAATATTTCGGATCAGTTTGCACCATATACTATATAGATGATAAACTGTTATATATGGTATGACTTTAAATTTGTTTTCAAACACCCCCATTAAACGATTCTCTGTAAACGTGTTGTTGGTGTAATAGGGTACGAAATAAGAACTCGGTTAATTTTGATTTGTCCCGCATTAAGGTAATGGAAATTTGGTGATTTTTTTTAACAAGTATTTTTATTATTAGAAGGATTTGAACAGTAATTAAAAAGCAATAACGAAAATTTGATTAATTTATTACAGTTTGACCGACCAAACCTAAAACCGCTGATTCAAGTATTGCCCAATATTCATCGTCAGTGATTTTAGAAAATATGTATATATATCTATATATACATTATATATTATATATAAATATTATATATATATTATATATATATATTATATATATATTATGTAATATATTATATACATTATAAATTATTCTATATTAAGTTCAATGAAAATGAGTTCTTTTTTAAATATGAATGGGCATTATTCTTAACCTGGTAATTTGGTAAAGTGATAAAATTTTATGCATATTTGTTTACGAAATTACCGTGTTATTTTTAATTTTTTTCGCTATTCACTAAAATATCAGCTGATTCTTATTATAATGAAAATGGAATAATATTAAAAAAAAATTCAACTAAAATAAGTTTTGCTTTACATTTCAATATAATTCCTTTTTTTGCTTTAATAGTACAATTTTAAATTTGAAAAGGAATCTTGAGGACCTAGGTGAGCATATCATATCGAACGAAGAAATAAAACTCGGTTCTGTGGGTTGAATATGACAATTTATGAAAGGATTCAGATTTGTAGAAATATTTTAATTCCAAGCAGGAGGGATAATAGATCTCTAGTTTGCTGTGTAAATTTCCTTAACACTTTCTGCTATTTTTATGCAGAAAAAAATTTTACAATTTTATACCCTGATTCGATTATTGTTCAGATTGCTAATAACATTTTAACAAAATTTATATATCGATTTTTTTTGCACAAATTTATTTAACATATGTGTTGAAAGTTAAAAGTTGTTGAAACTTACCGCCTTAGCGTAAGCCTTTCCAATTCCATCCGTGGCACCCGTGACAACTGCAATTAAAACTTAAATTTTAGTATCAGGTTACGATTACATAGTGCACTTATTGTAGATGTTTCTTTAAACTACATGAAAGCTAAAAGCTGTCAAGAACGATTATCACTTATCAAGATTATAAGGTAAATAAGAGGTAACATATAAAACTTGAAAATTAAACAAACAGTTTTGAAAACATTTTGAAACATACCAGCCCAAGCTCCAAATCGACGAAAATCGATTCTCGATCCAAGGAAAATGGGGCCAATAATATTTGTGTAGAGCCATGGCAGGACTTTGCGTACAGTTACTATGCAGACAATACCTACACAAATGCTGCTTAAAGTAGAAGAATCTGGAGCCATGTTTAGACCTGTATTTAGATTTAAATCCAATGCACACCTGTTTTATACAAACGTTCACAAAAGTTTTTCAATTTAATATTATTCGTTAAAATTTTATTTTTACAAAGTATTGTAAATTATAGAATCAATATTCCTCCATTTCATTCGGGTGTCGCGTCACTAATAAATTAAATAAATCTTCCACACTCATTTTGCTTGTTAACTATTTATATACAAATTGGAAATTATACATTCATAATAATTTTTAAACATTTATAATACACATATAGAAGATCGATTAATTACAGAATTACAGAAAACGTCAAATTGTATAAGTTAGCATAAAAAAATAAGTTGAGATACGTAAGAAAAAAATTATGTTTAATAAAAAGTTAAAGTCTCCAGTTAAAATTACTGCAATTTGTTTATGTAAAAACTCGTTTATTATAATTGTTTGTAAAAAATACTATGTTTTATAAAACCTAAATACTCGGTAATTTGTAATTTGCTTCTTATATCATCTGAAAGTAATTCAGTTTCGTTTCTTAAGTCATTTGAATTTTTATTTCCTCCTTATTCCCTCCAAAGCATATATTTTGTGATCTTCTCTGATTCCTTTCGTCTTGTCATTATATTCATTAATACTCACTTTAACCCGCGTGCATTCACAGATTTGGAATTTATTCTTTTAAAGATTTGGAGATCTCATAAGTATTCATAATGATATTAGTATCAAACTTAAAAAATGCTTAATAGATCTTCTCTGATTTCCTTTATCGTTTCGTTTTACTCATCCATACTCACTTTATCTCGCGTGCATTCACATATTTGGAATTTATTCTTAATTCATTTTGGAATTCTACTTAATATCCATAATGATATTAGTACCAAACTTAAAGAAATGTTTAATAGATCTTCTTTGGTTCGCTTCACATTTCGTTATATTCATCCATACTCACTTTATCTCGCGAGCATTCACATATTTGGAATTTATTCTTTATTAGATTTGTAATACTAATAAATATCCATAAACATATGAGTATCAAACTTGAAGAAATGGTTAATAGGTTTATAAAAACGATATCAATTTCTTATGCTGTATTTCCAGCAAGTCTTATTGAGTGCTCATTTTGCTTATTGAATAAATAATTTCTATATATTTTTGTATAATGAATCGATTCCCAACAACCCACAATCAGATCACGATTTCACATTTTACCCTATACATGTGATTTCTAGAAAAAACTACTAATGTTACTTAACTTCAGAAAGTTTGATCTCTATACAATTAATGTAAACATCACACAATGGAAGCTTATTTCTTATTTAAAGCCGTACTTATATTTCAGATTGCACTACTATATAGGATTTGTCATAAACGAAAGAGAAACTATTGATTATAGACGCATTGCCAGAAGTACGGTTAAAGTCCTGGGCTTCTATATAGCAATTCACTTGCTTACTCAAATTAATATAAGAGGAACTCGACCCATAGATCGAGTGGTAAAGTACTGTTTTTAAGTTATAAGGCTAAGACTTTCGAAGTAACGATAATTGACAGTGTGAACCAATTACCTAATTTTGTATCGCAAAAACAAAAACAAACTTCAAAAATTGAAGTTTATGTCAGAGGAAGAAAATATGGAAGAAACTATTGGCAATACACCACTATCTGTAGAAATAAGATAGCAAATGAAAAATGATGAAAATGCTGGAATTATAAAAGCGAGAAAAGCATTTGGAGCACACAGTATTGAAGACACATGTTATCTAAGTAGGGAGCGAGTAGAAAGGTAAGATAAAAAAAATTAAATAACTATAAGCTAATTTTAATTAAGTTTTTGGAAATATAAAAAAAATTTTGTAGAATTGTGCTTACATGTTAGCGCAGTAAAATCTTTGCGTACATCCGAGTTCTTTTGTCGCGTTTTAGATATAAATTTTATAGACAGGTTTCGAACAGTACTGAATAGCAACAACAAAATTTTTTATTTATTTTCGAGTATTGAAAAATACCCATCATCAGTAGTTATGGAATGATTACTTATATTTAATTATTCGTAAATAATTTTTTGGGATTGCAAGTGTTCATTAATTCAATTAAATAATTAAAAATAAATAAAAAATTTTGGTGTTGCAATTCAGTGCTGTTTGAAACCTCTCTATTAAATACAATTGTTTCTATCAAGTAAAATAGTTTCTATCGTCATAACAAGGGGCACAATAGACCCGACGGTCGTAGTGCAACATTTCTTAACAATTATTATAATCGTCATAACAGACGTTAAAATCAAATTAATTTTTATAAGTTGGTTCTTAAATGATGTAGATAATTTTAAATTTAATTAATTATATTAATATATAGTACAACTTGTGACAAATTGAACTTAATTAAGTAAACTTTCCAGCATAAAAATTTACACTGTACAAATCATACATTTAAATCAGGGCTGTCCAGACCAGATGCAATCGTGGGCTAATAGCAATCACTGTACAGATTGGAGGGCCTCAGAAACAAATACATACGCTCATAGTTGTTTTTGACAACTGTTTTAAAAATACGGTTATAATGTTAAATTTAGTTTTATTAATTTATCAATTTAAATTTATTTATTTAGTATACCATAAAAATAAAATAATGTACGAGGGCGGTTTGATAATTCAGTGACTTTTTGAATAAAAGAAATTTTTTTCGGCAAATAAACATTTTATTTTTCTACATAATCATCTTTTAGTTCGATACATTTAGTCCAGCGTTTTTCGAATTTTCTTATTCCTTTCAAATAATAAATTTTCTCAAAATACGCGTTTGTTTCGGGAAATACTTCTTCATTCGACTTAAATCTCTTACCGCCCAGTCATTTCCTTCGGTTTGGAAACAGAAAATAATCGCAGGAGGCTAAATCTGGAGAATATGCTGGATAGGGTAGCTGTTTATATCGCAATTCGTGGATTTTAGCCGCGAATGTTTAAACAGCACACGAAATTCTTTTTTTTAAATTTTCGTAAAAATTCACGAGGTTGTCTGCTTTGAACGGCTATCAAACACCAACTGAACGATGTAGCTTGCTTAAAATTAAGAAGATGCCCACTGGTAGATTACAGCTGACGACAGCACTGTTGAATTTGGATTAACTGCGGGGAAATTCAAAAAGTCACTGACTGAATTAGCCGTGGGCCGTGCTTTGGACAGCCCTGATATTAAGAATTCAGATTTAATGCAAATAATAATTGATAATACTGAATTTGAAGTCTAGTGATCTTAAGGTACGGTGCTAGTGAAGTTAAGTTGAGGTAAAAGATAGTGAAGTCAGGAGAGTATAACATTAAATTACAACTATTGAACTTGCTAGGAGATTGGATGTGAAATTGTTGAGCTAATTTTTGGATTGGGTATAGAATTGTACAGACATTATTTAACTCATTTATTTTTCCCTCAATTTTTGTGGATATATGCTCGTTTGGATATATTATAAATAAATATACTGCTATCCTACTCTATACAAACTGTCTAGGAACAAATATAACTTATTCATAAATAGTAATATGTACTAAGTTTTTGTTTTATATAAACCAAAATTTATTTTATCTAAAGAATATGACAGCTTTCACAATTGTTTTTTACGTAAAACCATATCATTCTATGTTAAGTAAGATATAAAATTTTCAATTTAGCAGAAACATTTATTAATCCAGCGGCTTTTAAAGTTTCCATAGCGAATATAATTAAATTGTTTTTACAAGAAAATTTTTATATACATAATCTTATAAATAATTTCATAAAAATAATTTATTTGGTTGAAATATTTGGTAATCTAAAGTCATATTAAATTAACTTTTGGTAACAAAAGCTCTACGTATTTAAATTATTTTTGTACATATTTAAGAAATTTATTTCTTTTTTTCTGAATTACGCAAAGCGCGCTTTCGCATGCCGGAGAGGTGGTTGAAAATAAAATTTCTGGCCATCTGGTCACCGGCAACGGCACCCAACAAGTGAATGGTTAATTGCAGTAGTGCATGTGGCAAGTAACCAGCCGTTTGACTAGCAATGCCAACTGTTTTTAAAGCAGAAGCTACATAAGTATCTGGTGATGGAGCGAGCAGTGTAGATTTTCGGATTTTTGCCATATTCGTTGCAACAAAACCCGGTTGTACACTTTGCACTATAATTCCTTGATTCCGATATTCTGTTTGCAAGTCTACACTGAATTTATCAACAAACGCCTATAATTTAGAGAAGAATATAAATGTATACAAATAATATTTAGTATATTATTTATTTATATTTACCTTAGTACCGCTGTATACACTGAGTAAGGGATTCGGTATTACAGCAGCAGTAGATGATAAGTTAATGATGACACCTTTCTTCTTGGCAATCATATTAGGTAGTACTAGAGCACACATATGAGTTACCGAATGTATATTGACTGAAATAATATCACGCAAGAATTCAGGATGGCGATTGTTGTTATCGATAAAGAATTCTGGATGTGGGTAACTAATACCAACATTATTAACAAGCACGCCAATGTCGAGACCTGTAATATTCTTTTCAATTTTCTGATATATTTGGGGACCATCAGTGAAATCAATATCGATGATTTTTATTTCGACTTTATGAGAATCAGCTAAAAAATATGAAAAGTTTTGGGTTTAGTAGATTATAGGCTATCGATGAATATTAAACTTACTTATTTCTTTGGCTACAGCTTCCAATTTAGATAGTGAACGGCTTATGAGTACCACATTAATGCCCTTCTTAGCAAGCTGAAAAGAAATAAATTGAGTGGCTAATTGGTTGTGATAGGCTTATATGCAATGTAATTAGTTCTGAGGATCTAAGAGTACTGTACCAATCAAAAAATAAAGCAGAAATTTTATGTAATGGTGTTGATATAATATAATATTTTAGTTGTTTTTGTAGTGGTTTTTTGTTTTAAATTTCTGTTTCTGCGATTTTAGTGATGACGAAAAAGATGGAAACCAAAAATTTACTTTGCTCAGAATTCCTAACGGAACGGAGCATTATACTTATCGTACATCTATTATGATAGGAATCGATTTTACCGAGCAAAATATACTTCAAGTTTAATCAAATCTTCATTGATTTCCGTGTCAGATAACTGATGTTATTCGGGAAAATATATAATCTTTATATAGATTAGTATTCGGGCATTGGTAGAAATTATATTTCTATTGTCATTTGATTGTTTTCGTAAGAGCGATGGCGAACTAATACCATATTGACTGTTTCGCGGCGCCTTTCCTATAGGGCAGTGAAAAACCATAGGAGGTTAAGGTTTAGTCCGTAGTCCGCTTTAGTTATGATTTTACATTAGTTTTTATTTATCTTAGCTATATTAAATATTGAAAAACGTATCTTCAGCACTGTTCCATTTCACAACCTTTCAAACAAAAAAAAAAAAATGAGTAAAGGTATTGGGTAAAAGTTTGCTAAAGCTTAGACACCTATCACATATAACTTTGGATCAACATTGAGGTCTCATTTATATAATAATATATATAAAATACAATACAATATATAATAATACCAATTGACCTTCTGTAAATATTTTGTTTACGTTTGTATTTCGTTAGCCATATAATATAAAATATATATCTCAAGTATCAGTTTGTAAGACAACTATGTATTGTCTTCTATAGCAGATACCTATCTATATTGTAAATTAGAAGCTCAGATATTGTAAAATAAAATCGTTTTTCTAAACAGAACATGTTTCTAATTCACCGACTTATATGTGAGCTATATCAAAATCTGAACCGATCAGCTTCATTTTTATAACTCTGCATTTTATAAATTATGCTCAAGTTCAAGTTATGTATTTGAAGTACATACATCAACTTATAAAAAAGTTTTTCTAACAAAAAAAAATATAACATATCGGCAGTTTATATGGCAACTAAATCTAAATCTGAACCGATTTTAATAATTTTGTGTATATTTTTAAATTGATATACCATAATTAAGTACATATTTAAAAGTCTCGTTTGGGTGCTGTTGTAACCGTTTTTGGTGCTTTACCGCAAATTTTTGTATTACAGCATCCACACATTCGATCTTCAAGTCCTGATGAAGGTCAGTATTCCTTATGAATCAAGAAGCGTTGACTAATTTTGGTTAATTTGAATGGTCGATTTAGGTGCACATCTTCATAATTGGATACCATACATCCACATTGGAGCTATGTTAAGACAAGCTTGTATATCATTAACTTGTTACTTATAGAGACAGATGATTATTACTCAAGAAATTAATATAAATTTTTGTATTTTGATTCTCGCTCGCTCCTTCTATTTTAACTTTGTATCTAAGTTCATGCTAAGGTATTTAGCTGTATTTAAAAGTATGATATTCAAGCACTGGACATAGTTATCGGCAAATAGTCGATTTTTTTGTTTGTGAAATTTATATGGACGGATTTCAGTGTTCCATAATTTGATTAATGAAATGTTGCGTTGCTTCTGGTAATTCCTTTATGGTATTTCCAGTAGTAAAGATTGCAATATCATCTGCAAAAGTTGCAATTATACTTTCTGGTGGGACTTGCAAGTCGTCTGTGTAAATTAGGTACAGAATTGGACCAAGTATACTTTCTTGCGGTACTCCGTCTTCAATTGGTTCAAGTTTTGAATACGTACTATTACATTTGTGCAGTTTTTTAAATGAAGTTTTATTTTCAAGATTAGTATATAGTATAACCTTGTTTGTAATATATACGTATATTGATGTACATATAAATATATATACTTTAAGGGGTTAAGGAACTATAATAATGAAGTTGAATTTCAAATGATTTACCTTCATCAAATATGAATCTTTTTGCTACTTTTATTATTTATATTTTCATGCAAAAAAAATAAAAAAAATTATACCTAATTAATGACTTTGTCTCAAACAAAAACTAATCTACATAAAAACAGAAATAAAAAAAAAGTGCATTAAGTACGAGTATCTTACATCAAGTATCTTACGAGTGTCTTACATTACTTAGGGCTACTGCATAATCGTTATTACTTCACATAATTCGCATATGCGATACTTTTGTTTAAATAATTTTTAATGTTTGTCTAAGCAAATTGCATTTTAAGATACTTGAAGCTTGGGAAAACTTTCGACTTTAGTCTCTGATTTGACTATTGATTTTCTTTAGAAGTTGCTAATTACTTAATATTCTCAACAAATTAAAACAATATAAATAATATTTGTATATTAACTTTTATTTGTTTAATGTACAAATATGTTTATTTACTAAAAGATTGCGATTTGTATTTGCTTTTCCTATAAATACGTGCACTTCAATGAATGCATTTGAAAGTATGACATTTTTTAGAATTTTAAAACTACTCAGATACTAATAATTAAAATTAATATCTGACTGTACTGTTCATATATTTACATATTTGTATTCAATATTTCAAAATTAAATCGTTTATAATTAAACTGTATTGTATTCAGTACTAGAAATGATCAGGAATTCAAGATCTTAATCCAATGTGTGCAAAGATGACAACTTAAAATTTTGAACCTATTCAATAAGTTCCAAATTATAATGTATCGAAATGCTTAAAGTGATGATAATTTTGTTAATTCTTAAGCGGAAGATAAATATACATTTCTATATACAGACAAACTTCCATAACTCTAAGTCCTATTTTAAAAAAGAAAAAGTTCGACTTATGTAGACTTCGAGTTAAAGAATTTTCTTTTGCTCTTTAAACCCTGTGGCACTCTATTTAGTTCGAGTTATAGAAAGTCGAGTTATGGCAGTTTGACTGCACAAATATATATTATATAAATATAAATATATAAATATAAATATATATTAATAAATTATATTAATTACCTATTAGAATTACATGTTATGGTCGACAATATCTCACACCACAATAGAAATTTGATATTCTCTCTGCTTTATGCAAGCACTATATTTGTGACGATCTTAGATGGTCTCGTAGTCAATCTTTGCCTTTTGCATTTTTTACTGAAATTTTTTAATTAAGAATCTTCTCAGTATCTGTACTTTCGCCAAAGTACAGAACAGGTTTAGTTCAATAAAATGACGTTAGGTTCTTTGTTTGTCGGTTCAGTCTGCTTTCGTGTCTCTCATGTTCCTAAAGAACACCACCATAAAATAAAATGGTTGTTATATTCCACTTTGTTAACGGAATAGTAATATTACTTGGCTATAACAAGTAAGATCTAAGAAGTTTACCAAAGCATTCAGTAAGGTTTGAAATTGAGATTCACTTTGAAAAAAAAAAAATAAATCTGTTGACGAAGTTTATAAAGCCCTTTGTCTATTTTACGGTCAATCGGCGTAGTGAGCAAGCAATTCTTGCAGTTTGTACTAATTATTGTCTTCTCTATTTAAAACCAACAACAATTAACTGTTTGGTGCGGTTTCCACGCTGTCGATATTATCGGTCCTTCTTCATTTCGAAATGAGTAAGCAGCTGTCGTTAGGGAGAATGGCGAGCGCTGAGCTATCGACCCATGCTGAATTTTGATTTCTAAAAATTAATCAGTTTAACAGCGACGATACTTGATTCCAACAAGATAGCGCAATCATACATACGTGTTTAATTCGCCTAACATACTCGCTTAACATACTCGCTTAACAATCGATTTATTGTAAAATCAATTTGGTAACAACTTTATTTTCAGAAGAGGTCATGTTAACTGGATCCTTCGTGCGTGCATTTTAACTGCTCTCATTTACTTTTTATGGGACTATGTTAAGCCATTGGTTTAAGTCGACAAACCAGCGATTCTTGAAGCATTGGAAGCCAATGTTTATACCACCATTGACGTCATATAGCGAGATTCAAAAAATAAATGCCATGAAATTTTCTATCAGATTAATATAAAAACAATATTTTTGTTTTGTATTATCATTTTGAGTTCTCAAGCAGCTAAAAAACACATCCGATATAACAAAAACGATATTCAAAGACCTCGTTTTTTCCTAAGTCCCTGCATTTTCTGTATATGTCACTACTGGTAATTTTTATCTTCTATGTCATATGTATGTCGACATACGGTGGACTGTGGATAATCAGTTCCATTCTTTCTGGAGCTCAAAAGACTTTTTATTTACAGAGAGGCAATGGGTTCTACATTAACTGATTATCTGATAAAACTTATTGCGAACTCAGCTAGAATCTTTAGCCAAGAAATATAGATAGTCAATATATTTATGCGAATTTTAAACTTTCTTGACATAATACATGGTAATAATTGGATTCATTAGATAATTTTGATATGTGCGATTAAGTGGATCAACACAAAATAAATTTAATTTTTAATTAAATTCAATACCAAATATATACTTCGTACCACAAAAGTAATATGAATCGAATCGAAAATAATTGTGTGTTTTGAATTAATTACATATAAAGTTTTAAAACTTTTGCTATATAAATTCAATCTCATACATTTATTACTTAATTAAAATTCATTGAACTCAAGGGCTAATTTAGAATTTTTAGCACGTACTTATTTTTAGTATTGGGCGCTATTATGTAAAATCCGAGTTTGAATGTACGGTAACTAACCGTCAGACCTGAATTGTAAGCAAAAATAAAAAAAATTATTTTAATTTTTTTAAGTTTTTAAAAATGCAAAGATAGTCGTTCTACATATTTGTCTTATATGCACTTAATCGAAGAATGTAATAATTTCGTAATAAAAAAAATCCATAAAATAATGAAATAGGTCATAATAAAATTGGTCTTTAATTTTGTTA